CAATAGTTAGTTTATTGAAAATGGAAGACAATTTGCAATTCCATCAAGTCCCATCAAAACTATTTTCTTTTTAATGGAGAAAATAGTTTGTCAATCACATCCAATTTTAATTTAAAGAAACCCTAAATCCAACGGCTAATTAATCAACACATGGAATAGATAATACAAAGTGCCTAACTAAAATTAGAAACTTAAAAAATTAGGTTAAACAAGGATTAGACACGTAATATACTATATGTGTCTCTTTTGACCACTATATATAGTTCGTGATGTACTAATAAAGCTCAAGTCTAATCATGGTTAAATCAAATGTAGAATTTAAATTGAAGATTAATGAAAGATTAGCAGATATGACAAAACATGAAAATCTAGCTATAGATATCGTGCATTAATACTTAATAGAAATCGTAAATAATAATTAATAATAAAGTCAAATCTCAAGAAACTTTATTATTAGGAAAAGCTTTTATAATATTCATTAGTAGTGGTGGAATATAATGAGTTTTCAACTGCAAAAGTTGAAAGCAATTTTGAATATATGTTTTTAGTGGCAAGTCAGCATATTATTTTGGTCCCCCATAACACCTTAATTCTTTGCCTTTTTATCAGAAAATCAATTCTTTTTTTTTTCTTGCTGGCCAAACACTCCCTTAGCCTAATGACATTAGCATTATTCTTGCACCATAAAGCAGGCACAGAAACCTCGTCATCTAGTTACAACATTTTTTTAATAATAAATTTAATACAAATTGTTCTAAAATTAAAGATTAAACTAGATGTTATCGTATTGTTTGATCAGAACTGCGATGATTTGCGTTGTCAATTTGCTTCGAATAAGTTTCGATAATTCAAGAACTAATTTGATGGGCTTCTCGTAATGAAACCGATCGTATATATTAAAAAAAATCACATGTAAAAAAGTATATTGACTTTTGGCATTGCAAAAAGATCAAAAGAGAACATAATATTTCTTTTAAAAAAGTCGAAAATTTTAATATTCCAACTTTTGATAGATCGTATCTACAAACTCCGAATCTAATTATGCGTATTTAGTTACGCGTTAAACGAATGATCTGCACTCTATTTCATTAATACTTTTAAATTTTGTATTATTGTTTTCTATAAATATATAGTTAAATGAATTTAGTTTGTGATTGCATCAACGAGAGGGGGGTACTAGATATGTTGTCAAATCTTGGCCCTCCACTTCAATTAAGAATTTAGGCCGTGTTTGGTAAGCTTTTGGGCTTCCATTTCCATTTTATTTTGGGGAAAGATGTTTTGGGAGAAGAATTTGAAAATTAAATAAAGTTTGTTTGTGTTTTGGGAGGAGACAATTTGTACTGTAGCAAGTCAAATCATGTCTGAAAGATGTTGGAAAAAAGTATTTTGGAAGAAAATTTAAAAGATAAAGTGATTTGATTTTGTATTTTAGTGAAGACAATTTTCACTGTAGCGGTCAAATCATGTTTGTTAGAGAGAGAAATATTTGAATTTGTTTTGGGGAAAGTTTTTGAAAATAGTGTAGAAAGATATTTTCATTTTGGGGAAAGTGTGGAAAGAATTTGAAAAGCTTAACAAAATTTCAAATTAAATAAAAAAAGTAAATTAAATTACCCTATGAAAGAACAAATTTCACCATATATAAATAAATAAATTAACAGCCTATCAATATGAGAAGATCCTAGAAAAGATTCTGTGAATAGCAACCTCACATAATAATGTATGTACATATATATATATATATAAAAGCTAAGAGGCATTAAAAGCTCCAGCACCTTTGGGGTAAAATTCATTTTAGTCCCTGAGCTTTGCAGCCAAAATCAAATTCATCCCTGTGTTTTTAATTTTGTTTAATGTCATCCCCGAAACTCAATTCCACTGCCAAAATCAATCATTTTTCACAAAATGCCCATATTACCCCTTGAAAACCTAGGGGTCTAAAATGAAATTCAGCCTTAATACTTTTTTTGCTGAACACCACAAAATAAAATTATATTTAATAACATTTCAAGATCTTAAAACTTATTTTTTCTCATTAATTCAAACAATATCTAAAATACACACAAATATTATTTTATTTTTCAAATTCTTGTTGCAAATTATTTTTTCAAATCTTTAAACATAAATTAACTACTAAAGTGCAAGTTATTTCTTCTTAAAATACAAATAAAAATATAGTATTTAAAGATTATTCTACTAAAAAAATTTCAAAATTAAATAAAATCATAAACTTAAATATTACAAAACATTATCGTTTTAAAAAAAAAACATGTTTTAGTAACACTGCATTCTGGCTGTGTGAATTACCACATTAGACTATAACAACATTAGTTTGATTCCATATGTTGTAACAATTAATTTCATAAGCAGAGACGGAACCAGGATCAAAATGTAGAGGGACTAACTAAAATTTCGAGGTCCGGGCAGCGCCTCGAAAAAAATTGTATGTTCACAAGACATAGCAAACATAAGTTTACATTGATAATTTTTAATTAAAATAGCATACATATAGTTTTATCATATTTTAAGCATGACAAAAAAATCTTAATGTATTGCACTTAAAAATTTTGGAAATTAATGGCATCGTCTCAAATTATTTTGAAGAGACACCGATAAAAAAATTCCAAAATAAGTAAATACTCATAAATATTATATAGAAAATACAAATTATAACCATTTTGTTAAATATTTTTATATTAAATCTAATATCTACAAGTATAATTTATATAGTATTATGGAGAAGAAACAAAAAAAATTAAGGATTAAGACACATATTTACAAAAACTTTAGGGGGGCCAAAAGTAATAATAAAAAATACAATGCCAAAATACCTAAAAAAACGGGTTTTGGGAAAAACAAAATTTTACACGAGAAATTTACAAAACCAAAAAATTATTATGAATTTCCAACAAAAAATATTAGCAACAAATTTGACATGAAAAGAAATTGAGTTAATTTCGTAACATACATCTATACATAATTATTTGTTGATTTGTTTCCCATAAGTTTTAGTAAATATTATTAAATAGAATTTTAGTTCAATATATTTTGTAGAGTAAAAAGTGGCATTTGGGTTGAGTTTCATTTTAGTCCTCAGGTTTTAAAAGGGTAATATGGGTATTTTGGGAGAAAAAATGAATTTTAACTGTAAAATTATATTACAGGGATGATATTGAACCCAATTAAAATCACAGGGATGAATTTGATTTTGACTGCAAATGTCAGGGACTAAAATGAATTTTACTCCCGCACCTTTGCCATTTTCAAGTTGAAGGCATCATCAAGTTGCATCTCTAGATAGTGGGGCTAGCTACAAATAATGAAAATAATAATAAACCATATTTATTTATTTATATTTATAGTATTATTGAGTGCATGAAATAGTAATAATGGCAGCTTTGTTGTTCTTCTCTGGGACCTTTTGTCAAACATGAAAGACGCACCAATTAATTGCTGCTAGTTGCAAAAAAAATGACTCCAAATTATTCTACTTTGAGCCAAATAATAATTGATTCAAAAGACAACTAGCTAGGGAAAGAATCTAACACCAAAATTAAATTAAATTCAAGAAAATATATATATGTTAAATTCCACTCCACTCCCATGGTAGATTCTTCTCTCTCTATATATATATATACATGGACCACTGCCGCCCTTTGCCCCTTTGAAATTTCAGCGGCCAATATATATAATTAATATATTATTAACTAATTCGCCCTTTATTTTCGAAAATGATTGAGAGCAACCCTTCCAATTTTTCTTTTTACACTTGAAAAGCTCATCTTTTCATATTTTTTAAGGGTTCTTTTGCTTAACCCTTTTTACAACTCATATTTTTTTGGTCCTGTGTTTGTCTAATTTGACGCGATTACACACACAGTAGGGAATTTTCAGTCAATGATTTTCCAGAATTTAATACAATAAAAAATATAAGTAACAAACAAGAAAAGAAAATGATTCGTAAATTTTAAATTAATTATATATGTATGATGATGAAAGCATAAAGTTATTTCCGCGTCTGGTTGAGAATCATTCAGGAGAATGTTTAAATTAAATAAAATAAAATCCAGGAGGAACGTAAGTTTTTTAATATGGAAGCTGTTAGTTATATATATATATGATATATCCTCCAATAGAATTGGAAAAATATCTGAGTGAGAGAGGAATTAATAATAATAAATAATAATAATAATAATAATAATGTTGGGTACAGGTATTAAAAAAAGTTGATGAAAAGGTTGCTAAAGCGAACCAATGAGGTGAAAACAAAAAACATATCAAATCAAGCTACTTTTTGTACTCCTCTCTCTCTCTCTCTCTCTCTCTCTCTCTCTCTCTCTCCTGGTTTAACGGACGGATGGATGGAGGGTGGGCGAGGCGGAGGAGTGGGTGGTCCACCGCGAAGTACACCGATCTTTTGCCGTGTGTGGTGGTGGTGGTGGTGGTGGTGGTGGTGGTTGCACTGTCTTTCCTTTTTTTTCTGTCACATTCCACCTTTACAAATTCAATACCCCCCCCCCCCCCCCAATTAAGTTTATTGACAATGTTAATATTAATAATTAAAAAATAAAAAATAAAAATAAAATAGAATCTAAGTCATAGCCACTTGTTTGTTGTCCCCTAGAAATGGAATGGACCCCACACATTACATGATGATATAACTTCACACATCCACAGTTCCCCCCACCACCAACATTATACAGTTACAATACCACCCCCACCCCCACCCCCACCCCCCACTCAAGCTCCACAATAAATAAATAAATAACTAATTAAAATGCCCAAATCAGTTAAAAGCTTCATTTCAACCTCTGATGCCTACAAATACACATACCAAATAAAATAAAAATTATTTAAACATGTATATATTTTAATAATAATAAATAATTAGAGAGAGAATATTGTCGCTGTAAGCAATCAATATCTTGATAACAACATCATACATTCATTCATACTCTCTAGAGTATTAAATTAATTTACTCCAATTCCCTCTTTTCTTTTTCTTTTTTTTCTCTACGTGTAATATATACTAATTAATATAACTCTGCCATATTATATAATTTAGTAATTGCCTGCTTCCGCTGCGCCGGCGAAACTCCTCATCGCCACCCACCATGCCGACGCCAGTATACGCCGCCAGGCAATGCCTGACTCAGGAGGCGGCCACCGTCCTCGACGAGGCGGTGGCGGTGGCGCGCCGCCGCGGCCACGCCCAGACGACGTCGCTCCACATGGTATCCTCCCTTCTCTCCCTCCCCAACTCAACCCTACGTGAAGCATGCACCCGGACCCGGAACAGCGCCTACTCGACCCGGGTTCAGTTCAAAGCCCTCGAGCTCTCCCTCAGCGTTTCCTTGGACCGGATACCCTCCTCACAGGCGAACCGGGTCGACGAGCCCCCGGTTGCCAATTCTCTTATGGCCGCCATTAAAAGGTCTCAAGCTAGCCAGAGAAGACAGCCGGAAAACTTCACCTTCTACCAGCAGCAACAACAGCAGCAGCAGCAGCAAAACTCTTCTTCTTCTATACCGATTGTGAAAGTGGAGCTGCAGAATTTGGTGCTGTCGATTCTCGACGACCCGTTAGTGAGCAGAGTGTTCGGAGAAGCTGGGTTCAGAAGCTGCGACATAAAAATGGCGACGCTTATGCCGGGGAAGAGCTTCCACCCATCCCGTTTCCTCGGTTGTACCTCAAGGTACAAGCGTCCCAGCCCACCTGTGTTTCTCTGTAATTTAACTAACAACGACAGTTTGATTGGGGGGAAAGGTTTCAGCTTTCCGTTCATGGGGTGTTTCGCCGGAGATAACGAGGGTTCGAGAAGGATCGGCGAGGTTATGATGAAAGCAAAGAAGCGGTGCCCGCTTCTTCTCGGCGTCTCCGCCGCGGACGCACTGAGAAACTTCCTGGAATCGGTTCGGGCCAAGACCCGATTCGTTTTGCCCGAGGGGCTAAACGGGTTGGGCGTGGTTTGTGTCAAAGATGAGATCTTGATGTATCTGAGTGGGGATTCCGACGAGGGCCCGTTGAAATCGAGGTTTAGAGAGGTGGGTGAAATGTTGGAGAATCGCACGGGGCCTGGAATTGTGGTGAGCTTCGGCGATCTGAGTGCGTTCTCCGACGCCGGCGCCGGTGATGATCGTTTGAGGTTTCTGGTGAGAAATCTGGCGAAGTTGGTGGAGGATGATCACGGTGGGAAAGTGTGGCTGATCGGAGCGGCGGCGGCGTACGAGGTTTATGCCAAGATTATGAACAAGTTTCCGACCATTGAGAAAGATTGGGACCTAGAAATTTTGCCCGTAACTTCACTTCAATTCTCCGCCGGCGGATCATTTCCCAGATCCAGGTTAATTTTTGGAACTATTTCTGTATTTTTTTACTGTATTATCTGATATTTAATTATTGTAATATAAATATAATATCCCTAGTGTGTGTTGTGTGTTTCACTGTTGCATATTTTTAATTCTAAAAATGGTAATAATAAAAATCAAGAAACTGCAGCGATCAAGGTTCTTGATCTGCTTAATTACTATTTTGAAAGTTGGTTCAATTTGCAGTAAATTTGAAGATAATAAATAGCAAAAATTAACCATTTTTTACAAGGATAGAAATATAGGGACAGATAAGTAATTTCATCAGCATGGAATTGTCTAAGTAGTGAAGACAGATAGACAAATGTAGTACTCTATTACTACCACATACACACATATTGGGTACTGTCAATAATTTAGTTCATTATCTATCAATCACAACAAACACTTTCTTGACACTGATAGGAGAGAGTTGCTGTTAACTGCAAGTTTCATTTAACAACATAAATCTTCCCAAATTGCCCTCGTCTCTGTGAAATTTCAATTGTATCAATTTTTTTTTTTGAGTTGATTTGTTGTGCATCATTGGATCTCATATTTGCATGCATGTGATATAAAAATCACAGCTTGATGGAATCTTTTGTTCCGTTCGGTGGATTTTTCTCGATGCCACCCGAGACGAGAAGCCCGTTAAATAACCCGACCCAATGTGGGGCCCGCTGCCACGTATGCAACGAGAAGTACGAACAAGAGGTAGCTGCACTTTCAAACGGAGGAATTTGCTCTTCACTTTCTCAACAGCATCAATCTATTTTACCTTCTTGGTTGCAAAATGCTGAACCAATCTCACAAAGTGTAAAGGTGTGTTATTGTGTGTGTGTGTGTGTTATATACTGGGGAAAAATGCTATCTTTTTCTCGCATGAAATAGCAACTTGATTTTCGATTTTCTTTCAGTGCAGGGCAAAGACGATAAAATGTTATTGAACGCCAAAATCACGGCTCTCCAGAAGAAATGGGATGGAATATGCCAACAGCTTCACTTCAAACGAACTTTATCAAACGGTAATCAATTTCCCCACATAAAGGGGTTCCAAGTTTCGGAAAACGGGAAAGAGCAATCATCAAACGAGCACGTTAACAAGAATGTATCATCTTCAAGCTTGTCCACCGATTTACAACACAGCTCTTTGCTGAACGGGCTTTTGTCTAAACCTACCGAAACTCCGTCGGCTGGCCGCATCAAATCTCCAACTTCAATCACTTCGGTGACCACAGACCAATCGTCTCCGTTTTCGTTTTCATACCGAGAAAATCTCATGAATGTAAAAGATCCGAAGCTACTCTACAAAGCTCTTTTCGAAACAGTCGGAAGGCAAGAAGAAGCTTTAAGTGCAGTTGTCGAAGAAATGAGTCAATGCAGAACTAACGAGAGAAATACATGGATTAATTTCCGGGGACCCGATAGATTTGGCAAAAGAAAAATCGGCCTGGCGTTAGCAGAAATATTGTATCGAAGCGAAGAAAGTCTTGTCTACGTTGACCTAAGTTTCCAGGATGAAATGATGACTACTCACGCAGACAATCTATTCAACTCAAAGTTGTCGAATAAATACGAGCTAACAATGAGAGGGACAGTTCTTGATTACTTGGTGGAGAAGTTGAGCAAAAGGGCATGCGTCGTCTTTCTTGAAAACATCGACAAAGCGGATCTTGTTGTTCAGAATAGCTTGTCTCAAGCTGTGAAAACGGGTCGGTTTACGGGTTTTTGTGGGAGAGAGGTAAAGGTAAGCAATTGTGTCTTTTTGGGAACAACAAAGTCGAATAGTGACGGCTCGTCAGCTAAATACACTGAGGAAGATGTATTACGTGCGAAGGCAAATTCGATTCGAATTTTGATCAGATTTGACCTTAACGAAGATCCAATTATCGAATCCGACGGGTTATTTTGTATGAACAAAAGAAAGCTTCTTCGCGAGAATACGGATCAGACAAAAAGATCGTACAAGACTTCGAAATCCTACCTGGATTTGAATCTTCCTGCAGAAGAAGGGCGTGAGTTGTTATGCGCCGCAGAATATTCCAATTCCGATTCGAGTTCGGACATCAATGCGGCCAGGTCATCGTCGTGGCTGGAAGATTACGAAGCGCAAATCGACCGGACGGTGAATTTCAAGCAGTTGGATTTGGACAAGCTTTCCGAGAATATATACAAGGGTGTGAGTGAGTGTCTGAAAAATGCCGTTGGATTTGAATGCTCGTTGGAGATCGAACGGGATATAATGCAGCAGATTCTTTTGGCCGCGTGTCTTTATGGAGACAAGAAAGTGGAGGGTTGGATTAAGAATGTTGTGAGTGAGGGTTTCGTCGAAGCTGTTGGAAAATATAGTATTGATGCTCGTTCGGTTGTGAAGCTCGTTTCGTACGAGGGTTTCAGTCCGGTGGAGAAATTCGATGGATTACTACTTCCAGAGAGAATTGTGCTGAAGTAGTTTGGTATGTAATTTATATTTGTAATTGTATATGTATAATATAGGTTGAGTTTGGGTTATTAGTATAGATAAATGCTAGTAAAGTAGTAATTGTATCAAGATTAATTAGTGTGTCATAATTTTCTGATGGTCTTTTATTTTCTTTCTTTTTGTGTTAGATCATTAATTATATATTGGTAGCTTTAGGATTGTGTGTTTAGAATCATAATGATGAATAAAAGAAATTGAAGTTGTTGGTTATATCTTGTGTTGTATTTTTTATGTTAGGTAATTTGGTAGTTACATTTCATTATGTTCGATTATGGTAGTTATAATCTAAATTAAGTGTAGAACCCGTGTATGTTATATTTCATTATTTCGATTTCTTTAGGTCAAGTTAGGGTTTGCAAAACATATCTCGTAGATATATCAACACACCAAATATAAATTGCTATTTTTAGTAAACCCTAATTGTATGTAATTATTTGGTTCTTTACTCTATATCCGTTGATAAATACTGAGTGAGTCTTCTGTTGACACGTGTTATATTTAATTATTTATTATATATTTCCCGACTTTTTGTAGAGGTTTTAGAAAAATATAAAAATATACACGTGTCAAGACCACTCGATATTATCACCAGGTGTAGGATCGAAGGAGTCGTGATTATTCCCTAATTTTTGGTCGCTTTATATATTCTTATGTATTATTAAATGCTAATTGTTATCCAGAACTCTTGAATTTTGAATTTTTCCGATAGTTTTCGAACATACTTGTGAAAAATAATAAAAAAATAAATAAATTCTAAGGCATGATTAATGGTATGTTTTCAATTTTATGGATCTAATGTATGTATGTTCGAATTGGGCCACATATTTAAGACCAACCACTTAACACTCGTCGGTCCAAAATCATGGGCTTTTAATTTTCCATCATTTTAATGTCGATTTAAGTGTTTTTTTTTTCTTTTTTTTTTTTTTTTTTTTTATTATTATCGATGTTTTATTTTATTGTGATCATATATATATATATATATATATATATATATGGGAAATATGCAATATATTCCTCAAATGGAAAATATTTTGCACTAACTCAATTAATTTGTAAACACTTTTGCCTGCACCCAAATTTCATTTTTAATTAGAGAGAACCCCCTAAACTAGTGTGAAAAGACAAAAGTACCCTCAACTACTATAACCATAATTATTTGACCACCTACCATTTTTATCTTCTCCCTTCTCCACCTCTCCACCTAAATCCCTCAAAACACTCCTAAAATTTCAAACTTCATCCACCGCCGCCGCCGCCGCCGCCGTCACCTCCACCACCGCCATCACCACCGCTGCTCATTTGTCGCCGTCGCCGCTTTCTCCTTCGTCTCCACATAAATAATCACGTTTTCTCGTATTCGTTCTCTCTCGATTTCTCTCTTTACAACACCATCGTCTTTACATAGATTTGCATACCACCACCACCGTCGTCGCTTGTGCTGCCACCTCCTTCGTTTTCACGTAAGGCTTCTTCTCTCTTTTCGTTATCTTTCTGACCACCACCACCACCACTATCGCCGCTTCTCTCACTCTATCTTTCGTTCACCACCGCCGCCATCGCCCCCCTCCCTCTCTTTCGTTAATTTTCTACCTTCATTTATGTATTTTTCGATTTCTCTCTCTCTCTCTCTTTCTTTTTTTTTTCTCTATATCTGAAAATAGAGTTTCAGATCTGTACAGTTGCAGCAACATGACTACAGTCATATTCGAATATGACTAGACGCATATTTATGTATTTAGTTATTCGAATTGTAATTTTTTTTTTTTTTGCGTTACTTGATATGTGAGTGTAAGTTTCAATGTGTTTGTTGTGGCTGAATTGAATTCACATAATATTATGTGAATTGCATTTACAGAATAGTGCAGATTCATTCAGCAAAATTATTCACATAGTAGTCACATTCTCATATTTTTTTGTAGTGCTGCACATCATGTCGTCAACCTTGATGATTGTGGTGAAGTATGGAGGGTCGTTTGAGGTGAAGATATGCCAAGGTGATTTTGTGTATGAAGACCTCGTCGACTCCCATCCCTCTCTCTCGTTATTTCTCTATCTTTATTTATGTATTTTTCTATTTTTTTTTTCAGATCTAAACAGCAGTAGTAACATGACTATAGTCATATTCGAATATGACTAAAGTCATAATTATGTATTTTTCGAATAGGACTGTAGTCATATTCGAATATGACTATTGTTGAATATGTTCTATCTTCTTGTTTTCGTAAATAATAGGGAATCTTCGTTGTTTTATATGATTTGGTAAATATGACTATGCCATATAATCGGATTTTTTAAGTTCAAAATATAAAAAACAACAATATAAAGAAATAATATGACTACAATTTATGGTTACGTATAGTCATATTCGACGTTACAAACCTATCGAGAAAAAAATTTCAATTTTTTGTTTTAAAAAAATTAAAATAATATTTTTATTAAAAAATATTAAAAATAAAAATAAATAAAAAATGGCTAAATAAAGTTCGAAAATAATATAAAAAATAATAAAGTCCGATTTTTTTTTTTTTTTTTTTTTTTTGATTTGGTAGCATTTTTTTAGGAATTTGGAAGCAGATTTTTAGGAATTAAATTGTTGTTATGGAAAGAGAGAAAAAGAATAATAACTGAGATAAATTATACTAGGAGCAGTTTTATTAGGGAAAGTAAATAATTAAGCATAATTAGCGGAATTAGGTGCCTCATTAATAGGAATTTTGAAAATATTGGATAAATATAAAAAAATAAACCTGATAGTTACTAGAGGGGTAAGATTGGAATTAAATATTTTAGGGGGTTTTCACAAAGGAAGAATTATGGTATAGACGTATCACTAGTTTTTATCTATAGGATGGGCGTTTGCTAATGACGCCATTATATATTTATATTATTTTTTTACTAAATGTGCGGTTTAAAAAAATCGAGGGTGCACTAACAAAACTCGTAACGCAACTCCCTCCTCAATTAAAATATCCTTTTTTTTTTAGCAATTGAAGTCATTACAAGGGGATGTAGGGGAGGGGAGACTCGAACCCTAGACCTTTTACCCTATTGGTATATCAATTCTCCTAATCAGGATTGGTAATTAAAATATCTTTAATCGTTGTGTTCTGTGTCTGTGTGGAGAGAGATTTTTAATTTTTTATTCAATATTTTTTTAATATATATTTTTTTAACATATATTTTTAATAAATATTGATAATTTTTTTTTGATAGGCAATAAATATTGATATAGAGTCGTGTTGAAATCAACTTGTATATCTCAACGTGATATTAGATTAATGGCCTCAAATCCAATCAGAACGAATATTCCAAAAAATTCAAACCTCACACTTATCAATCAATCAATAAATAAAAACTCTTAACTAATCAATCAATACCGACATCAGTGAATCATAAAAAATATCAAATGTTTAGCTAATAAATTCAAGAGAACAAGTTGACATTTCATAATCATCAATTTCATACTTATCCCTTCAACACACATCCATCAATATTAAATAAGTTTGAGATTTGAAAATATTTAAAATATAATAATATGTTTGAAAATGAAATAAGAGGGTGTTTGGCTAAGCTTATTTTAAACAGCTGATAAGCTCCTACGTCTGATAAGATATTTTAAGAGCTGATAAGCTGTTATGTCTTATTTTTAAGATTTACTTTTAGAGTGTTTGGATAATGAACTTATGTCCTATTGTTACTCATAATAAAATCTTAAATAAAAAGGTGGGTTAGAGATACTTTTTTAAAAAGATCTTATTTGCTCTCCAACAGCTTATTTTTAAAAAAATAAAGATCTTTTTCTAAAAAATTACCAAACACTTTGGAAGAGCTTATAAGCTCTAAAACATCTTATAAGCTCCTTTTAACATCTTATAAGCTTAGCCAAACACCCTCTAAAACCTACATAGCCATAATTCTCGTAATGGATCATGATTAAAAAATACTGTTAAAAAGAGCTTATAATCTCTTGTAAAGTGTTTCATAACTTTTTAAAGATTAAAAAATGCTGTCAAAAGGAGCTTATAGTCTCTTGTAAAGTGTTTCATAATTTTTTAAAGAAAAAATAAATAATTCATTAAACAAACTGTTGAAAAATAAATAAGATTATTTAAAAAAGAAAATTATCTATTTACATCACCTTATTATTTGAGATAGTATAATGAGTAAAAATAGTTTATAAATTAATTATTTAAATAATTCTAGAAATAATTAAAAGTTTAAAAATATGTTTATCCAATCGGGCCTTAAACTACACACCTCATTCACCAATAAAAACCTCTTAAAAAACGTGCGTATTTGGGAGCACGTGGTTTGACTATTCCGTATTTTAAGCAGGATGACATGTACTTGTCAGTTGTCTCCCCTTAAAGTACAATACCTGGGTTTTATTACCATTTTACCCTCTTACAACTGAATTTTTGTATTTGTTTTAAATATGACTTTGTACGAGTTCGTTCGTACATCAATTACAACAAAATTGAAAAAAAAATATTAATAAAATATTAAAAAAAAAAGCACACGATAATTGAGATGGTTTTAAATTGGAAATTAGGACGAAGAAAGAGATCGTTATTACAATAATTGGAATTTTGCCCTAAATTATTACTATAAATGGTCCCTCAAAGCTGGTGATTCTGTTAACTTTGATTTATGTCTTTCAAAATTAAGATTATTCACTTTGATTTATGACATTCACAAATCCACGTGTTTGGTTCTCATTGGACGGCTATCGTTTTCTTCACGGTGAGCCATTCAAAAGCTATCGTCCGCCACAATTAAATTGAATAATGAAACGAGATATTATATATGGGACACCTAATTGCTTAAAATTAACTCCAGCTAATAGTTTATTTTATATAAATTGCTTAAATTTATATATACTATTAGTACACAAGATTTTTTTATTAAAATAAAAATAAAAAAAAAAGGAAAAGGGTTTTTCTAAATCTTCTCAAGTTGCAAGCTGGCGGGTTATATTCTGATTTCTGATACTTTAAAAAACACGGAAAAAGTGCTACAGTGGAGCACGAGTTTCATAAGCTGTGTTATTTTAGTATTTTATTATTTAATTGTTTATTCTCCAATAATGCGATCATTTTACAATTGTTGAATATTTGACTTTTAAGCCACAAGATAGTAACACAAAGCACTTGAGAACTACATTGTACAAATTGTGTCCTAATTAATTAGTGGATATTAGTTAATCTAATCCAAGTTGCGGTTTTTCTAAAATATATTCCCAATTAGTGGTCTCTTTATTCTTAAATTTTTTATTCGAATTTCATTCCAATATCCACTTCAATTTCATTTATGTAAAAAGTTTGTTTCTATTTATACCCTTGTGTTGGTACAAGATATACAGTTAATCTTAATTAATAACCCTAAATAATAGCGATTAACATGTAATACAATTTACATTGACAACAAAAAAATACTTCATAAGCCTCATTCGGCATATATATATATATATATATATATATATATATATATATATATATATATATATATATATATATATATATATATACTATCTTGGAGACTTTAATTCTAGTAATTGTGACTTACCCTTAGGGCCCTTGGTCCTTATGTAAAGCCTATATTGATCAAAAGTCATGGCTGGGTACAGTGCGGGTCTATCCGGTGACACCAATTCGTCAGCCGGTTGTATCAGTAAATCGCTCTTCGGGTTGTAGAAATAGGCCAATGAAACGCGCTCCTGCGCTGAATTCACAATCACTCTGTGCTCAACGCTTTTGTAAATCGCATTACTCATCACCTGATTGGGTCGTATAGTAAAAGGCAAGAGAAGCATCAATTACAAACGCAAATATAACATATTCGGCTACTTTTATTTAAAAATTACATCTTATATTTTATGTCATGTGAAAAATTAATCATATATGTGATGTGTGTGTGTATATATATATATATATATATATATATATATATATATACATTTTGATTAGGTCTCCTTAATCACTCTCCTTAATTAGGTCTTGTTCCAGAATATTTCAGATTAAAAGTAGACACAAAAAAGATTTATGATGCAATCTTCCATTACAATGGTCAATATTTGTGCCTAATTTTAATCTTGGACTTCATTACATACCCCTAATTAAATAATAAAATAATCCCTAATAAGCTACATGCCCAAATGGAACCCTTAATTAGAGTTTGAAACTAGATTAGGTTTAATACCAGAATCCCAACATCTTAACAAGTAACTAACTAACTACAAGTGGGTATTAGTGCTTAATTAACATAATATAGATCCCACTGACATAATAATCTTATAAAAAAATTAACATCTATTGTTGGTAAACTAAACTAATAACCACTAAAATTTTATAATAGAGATAATTATACCCTAGCTAGTAACTTGAGATTTGAGACATATAAATCTAATAACACTGAGAGTTAGGTTAAATTTAACTTTATTTAACTATGTCCCAAATCTCAATGTTCCTAGCTAGGGTATAATTATCTCAATATTCGCGAGTTTTCTTTATTTATTTTTATTGATAACGTATTATACAAATACGAGCAATAATGGAAAAATAGGAGAATGATAAGGGATAGCTTTCTTTGCCATTATGATAATGGATTTTATGTTGGTGAATGATATTATTAAGAGAGATTAAATTCGTATATTGCTATGAAAGATATATAGTCGAATATTATATCTCATTGCATAATAATTAGAGAAATGACTGAAAAACAGGAGAATACAGAAAAATAATTAAAAAATTAATTACAAAAATTTCATTAGAGTTTCTTAAGTTATCCTAATGTTTATTACATTTATATATAAGATTTACTAAAATCATTTTGATTCAACTTTATGAGCATAAAACTACCTTGAATATTTGATTCCTAATTACTTTTTCTTAATTCCACTTTGTCATGATATCTCATTAGAAGAATTCGCCCATAATCATGAATATTGGGATTTTGTTTCTAATTTTTATTTATTTTAATTATTATAATTAACTTTAGGAATAGAATCATGGGCCATTTGTAATTTTTTAAAAGAAAAGGGTAAACTACAACCACCCCTGAGGTATAGTCAAATTACAAAAAAAACCCTTTTGTTTGGGTAATTACAATCACCCCTCAACTATAAATTTTCTTACATGTCCACCTTTGTAATTTCAAATTTAGTGGAACCTTCTAGATTATATGTAATATTATCACTTTTGTACCTGTTTTATCCCTCGAAGCAAGATGATCATAAGATGTGTTTTTCGGCTTGTATATATCCAATTGTGGTGCATCAGAAACTGTATTTGTACACAAAACAAGTACACACTGGAGCACATTCTACGGAATCTAGATAATTATGTTGAATTTGACACCATAAGGGTGGAGATGTAAGAATATTCATTGTTGAGGGGTAGATGTAATTATCCAAACAAAAATGAGTTTTTCGTAATTTAACCATACCTCATGGGTGGTTGTAATTTACCCAAAAGAATAATAATGATTAACTTATTAATCAATTGAGATTATTGGCAAGTAGCCGAAGATGGTGAATCTATTTTGGTCCCACGTCGTTCCCACTATGAAACGTTTTCAATAAAGTTTTTGAACTTTGGTTAGATTAGAGAGTTGTATGCCTTTTAAAAAAAAGTGATGTACTACTACTACTATATATTCGCACGTTTATTTGTTGCTATAATATTGTTTCTTTATAGAAAAAGATGCCCCGTAAAACAAGGTCTCTCCATGTGCCCATGCTGCATGAATTCTAACGACAAAATTATTTTATTTTTTCCATTTATTGAAAAGTCACTCATTTAAATAAAAAATATTAGGGTTAGAATTCATAAAACACAGGCACATGGAAAAACGCGTTTTTGATTGGACCACTTTTTATATTGGACAAGTATTTATGAGTTCGCAGATATCCAATTGGTATTTAATAACGAACAACTTGTCACGTTTAAAAAGTAAAATCGATATTTCACCAAATGTAGCATCGCGCACATCATTGCTATATGCTTAATATGTCCATCTGCAATTATTTGGTATCGTTTTTTCTTTTTTTATTTTTTTAGTGTGACAAGCGATCATTATTGAATAACAATAGATTTTTTTTTTTTCTAAGAAGCACCATAAATTAATGTAAATTTGGTTCCTGATTAGTAATTTAAAGTGTTTTTTTTTTCATACTATATAATGGCAATAGTGATGGAAAAGTAAGTAATTAAGCACCTGAATTTGATCACCAATATTGACAATGAATGCATGTGGAGCTGGTTTGACGGTAATCCACCCGTCGCCTCGACGAACTTGGAGCCCCGGTACATTTTGATCGGGTAGAAGAAAGGTCATGCCACCGGGATCCGAATGGGAGGATAGGCCTAGTGCTAGATCCGGTTGTGGGCATTTCGGGTAAAAATTGACCCGCAAACAAGCCCCTACGTCATCGCCTCCGAAAGCATTTTGCAGATAATCTTGTCTTAATCCCAGATTTATCGACAAAATCTTGAGTAATTCCCCGCCTAGCCTCACCACTTCCGTCGAATATTCGGTAATCACTTCCCTACGGTTAAAGTTAAACAATTCATCAATCATTAATCTGTGAATCTCAATTATTAATTAATTACTTGATTAGTTAATTAATTAATTTAAAAACAGAAAAAGGCACACTAGATTGGTGGCCGGTGATTAACTGACACAATATGAATAATTAGCCGGCACAGTCCCACGACCAATTCCATATCAGACACTAATTCATTAATCGCAATTAGAACAGATAATTTTCTTTTTTCTTTTTAATTAAAAAGACCTAATAATTCGGGATTTGGGGTAATCTAAAAATGGCAAATTGGCAACATTTTCCCCACGTGGCAAGTAGTGTAGTGATATTGTGGCCTTGTTCATATTGAATAGATGTTTCATGATTCGTGTATTACGAGTGCATGTGCTGGTAATGAATATCTCGAATTATACTAATTTTAAAACGAAATTACTAAATAAATAATAAAAAAAATAAAAAAAATAATATTAAAATAAGTACCTTAGGTGAGATGGAAGGAAAGGCCACTTGTTAAAATCCCTCAAATTGCAAGGTAAATAATGGAGGTAGTAATAATCGCTCCAGTCAAGAATGGCGCCCTTCTCCACACCAAGGCGGCTGCCGTAGCCCTCGTAGGTGGTGGGGGAGTTGGCGTACCTCTGCTTAACCTCCATCGGCTCGTGGAAGAATTCCCGCCAAACTTCTCTCGCCCGGTCCATCAGCTCCGGTTCGACCCCATGGTTCACCACCTGAAAGAAACCCCACTCACGGCACGCCTCCGACACCTGCCTCAGCGTCTTCCGCCGGAGTTCTTCGTCTCCGGCGTTCAGGAGTCCAAGGTCGATCAGGGGTATGTTGGCCTCCTCGGTTTCTGGGCCGGCGGCGACGGAGGGCCTCGCCTCCGGCGGCTTCACGTACCTGTCGGGAATCTTGTCTTCGCAGCTTTCCGACAGGGATTGGACCCGGATTATAGGCTCCGGCCAATCTCTCGGAAAGTTCATTTTTTTTGCTCACTTAAATCCGGTCGGAGCTACACAGTACACACACACACACACGCACGTATTGTTTTTACAGAGAAGGAAATAATGAAACTGAGAAGGTATTTTTACTCGTATATATATAGTACTAGGTATAAATTATAACTAGGGGGAAAAAAAAA